TCTCTTTCAGTCCTACATTCTGCCAGTAAGAGAGAATCCGATAAATTATCATGTACCCTATTTTACTCCTTCCATAACCTTTGACTATCCTCCAGGATGAAAAAAATTAATCTGGAGAAATGACCCTGGTGCTTAAAAAGGGTTTCTTAATCCCTTTTGTGCCATGGACCTGTCTGGCAGTTTAGTGATCTTGGGAATACCTTCTTAGATAATGTTTTTAAATACATAAAATGCATAGGCTTGAGAGGGAAACCAATTACATCGAAATGTGCAGATATTTATAAAACTGATGATGGGATGCAGTAATACCTCTGCATCTTTATTGACAGATGAAATAACAAGATCCAGTAACGAAACTAAAAACTACCTGAATTTCGAAGTAGTTTGAAAACCGCACTAATCAAGTGATCAACTTGAATTACAATTATTTCAAGATATCTATAATAACTCTAATAAGTTAATATGCAAATACCTGTTCTTTCTATTGGTGGCAAAATCACAAGTACTGCTAATATTCTTGAATTTGTTGTCCCTATTCATAAATAAAAGAAAATGCTGCTTCATTCTAGGGGTTAGTGAAAATAAAGATCTAATTACTTTTCCATCTCAGTTTATGGGGCCTCTGAATGCCATCCAAAGATCTACCTTTCCCCACCCACTCCCCACTGAGTTATGAACCCTGCTCTAGCGACATGGGGAGATTTTGAGCATTTCAGTCTTTTCACATCCACCAACTGGACCTCATCGGTAGCCTGCAGGGGGCTCCTTTTGCCTTCTGCAGAAAACATATCATGTTTTGATAATGCTGGCAATTGTTCTGGATTATTTTCTCAAATCTTTAAAGTGTAAGTCAAAGTAAATAGGTAAGAGGAAATATTACAAGTATACTTTACATGAAGATGCATGAAAAACTTCAGTATGTTATAATGTCTCTTATTCTAAAGTTAGACATGCTATAAAATAGTGTCATGATGAAATACTCAAGTGAAGTCATTTATTTGCCTGTAGGACTTAAAAAATGCATAGTAATATGAATTCTAAGGCTAAGAAGAAAAGAAAAAGCTTCTCCCAACTTTCTACTATTTTATCCCATAAAACTGAAGAACTGGCTAGCTCCTATCTTAAAGCCTTGCTCACCATTTTTGAAATATATTTCCAGGATAAACGATGGCAATAGGTTTATTTAAAAAGGAAAGTTATTAAAACAAAACAAAACAAATCCTATTTTAGCATTTACTATACCCTGTAAAACCAATATTGCACACTCTGTTTTTGAGGTCTCATGCCGTAAATGCTGTCTCTACTGCCAGGCATTTCATTTCTGATTTTGTTTTCATTTGGCTCATCAGTGACATTACTGCCTGGCTTGTATAAAACATATATAATGAGACTTGGAGGCTAAGAACAAAAGTACTATTTAATGTATCATTTTATTAAATTGATTCCCTTACAAAAAGCCATACTTTCTTCAATGCAAAATATGAACAGCTATAAGGAAATAATGTCTGTTGGAATTTTATATGCCTAATTTCTTAAAGTAGAGATGGCTTAAAGTTAGCAATTGTGTTTTAAATAATAAACATACATCTTTATATTCTAATCAGAGAAAACAGAGGTCAGCCCAACTAGAATTTAAAAAATAAGATTATTTCCACATTTCTCCTAAAATATTTGGCAGCATAAGTGGTAACTATTTTTAATAAAAAATAATATCTAACATAATCACTCATCATTTACAATACTATTTGAATTAAATGTTAAAAGACAAAAGTCAGGGTCAATGGTAAGTTTAGAAAATTATTTAAATTTTTCAAACAGCTTATGCAAAATTTGCTTATGCAAATTGATCTTTTCACTTCTGATTTAGCCAAGGCATTGTTTAATTGCTGATAAACTAAAATTACAGCATTATATGTAAAATAGCATTATATAAAACACAGGAAGCTGATGTATGAATTGTACTTTGGAAATGAAATAAGCAGCCAGTATTTGAGAGGAGAAAGTATAAAGTAACTAAAAGGAAACAATAACATATCATCTTTGTAAGAACTGTACTAAGTGCATTAGTCTGCCCCTTTCCCCTTCCCGGGAGGTAAAAAGACCACAGCCCATTGAAACAATGAAAATAATACACTCCCATAACTTACACACACAATTTCATGAGTTTCCTCAAGGTTATACAGGTTAAGTAACTCCTCTCTATTCTGTTGAGACATGTTGTCAGGACTGAGGGCAAAGATTACAGTGGCTTTCTTTTTCTACTTTCATAAGAAGTTATATGAGAAGAAAATAACCACTACTCAATATTCATAAGATGTAAATGATATATCATCAAAAATCCACAAACTGTTTTCTGAAATTTCATTTTATGTTTATGAAGGAAACTGCAAACCTTACTTAATTCTCTATTAAATTTCTCTCTTACTGTGAGGTCCAAACCTTAACCAAATTGCTCAGGAAAAAGAGTACAAGAATCATCTCTTAAACCATCTGTGCAAGAAAAATGTGTAGAAGGGGCAAATAGGGGATGAGACTTCATGGGAACGAACATCCAGTGGATCAGCTGCTTAATGGACCGAAACTCCCAATAATCAACAGTGTCAATCATTAGCCCAAATAAAAGTAATGAAATACTCCTTAGTTTTTCTTCCTTAAGTATATAAATTCAACAGCTTTGTGAGTGATATAAATTGTAGTACACTCATGTGCCGCACAGAGACGTTTAGGTCAACGATGGACCCCATATTTGACAGTGGTCCCATAAGATTAGTAGCATATAGCCTAGGTGTGTAGCAGGCTATACCATGTAGGTTTGTGTAAGTTCACTCTATGATGTTGGCACAACAACGCCATCACCTAAAGACGCATTTCTCAGAATATATCCTCATTGTTAAACAACGCATGACTGTATATGAAACTTTTTTAAACCTAAGTTCAGAAAGAGCAAGAGAAAACTCAGGAAGTGCATTTCATGCACTCTTTAGTTTTATCTTATTCTTATCCTATTAAATCAAAAGTTCACTTCGTTATATTTTAGCAACTTAAATACATAATACAATTTTCAGCCAATAAAAAAGAAACACCGGAATGTTAACACAAAAAATTTCTCGCAATTCTTACTGCCATCATAAAATGTGGGGCATGGATGAACGTGCAAACTTTATGCAGGTGTCTGTCCAGGAAAATTGTGGACTCACACTAAGGATAGAAACCATGGTTCCCTTATTTATATTATCATCCCAAATAGTACTTCATACACTGTTAAAAAAAAATGTGCTGATTAAATTATATTTATACAGAGCATTGCAGATATATAACCTCAATTAAAAAGATGTTATTTAGGTTGAAAAAAATTTAAGCTACAGAAGTTCTAACTATTAAATAGAATGAGGAAGAAAACTTGAGAGTAGAAAAACTAAGGAATGAAGTGAAATTCAAACTTGACTCTATGAGCTTTGTCTCTCCTTTTTAAAATATAAGGCATTAGCCAAGGGACGCTAAAATTTAAATTTTAAAGCAGAAGAAAATGAACATGAACACTACTAATTTGGGAAATTTCTAGAAAGAAAATCTCACATCGTAGTTCTAAGTTTTAGTTCACAAATTCCTATTAACCATATATACTAATATATTAAAAGAAGTCATTCTCTTCTAAAACATGAAAGATATTTAACAGCTGCCTAAACAATCCTTTAACCAAAGCTCCTGCATGTAAGCATAATTCTCAGGGCCAAAGTTGAACAAGTTTGTCTTGGGAAGAAAACTGAAAAAGAGAGAACACAAAAGTAATAAAGAGCAGAGTTATTATGAAGTCAAGGGATGTTTGTTTAGGACATCACTCATCTCCATCATCTGCTTGATTTAAAATTTTATTACAAAAGATGTCTAACTGTTGTAAATATTTCCCCACTAGGAAGAGACACTTACTGGATTTAAGTACTTCTTCTGAAACTTAATTTTTAAAATTCATTTCTTCTTGTCCTCTAGCCTTTAGGGCTTCCAACCATATCCCTCAAGGCTGGAGGAACCACAGGAAGATTCCAAGAGAGTACAAAGAGCAGATCCCGCTCTGATCCAAGCCATGGAAGTCATCTTCATTTCAATTAATTTTCTTTGCCTTTATGAACTTAAGAGTCTTTCAAGGAGGTTAACATTTCACTCATCTGAAAAAGCTTGGAATGTGACAGGGGAAAGGGAGGAGAAGTAAATCAAAGGGGTTAGCCATTTTCCAGATGCAATGTATTTCTCTTCTCTTTTTTCCACCAGAAACTTTAGAGAGCCTTGTGACATTTTAATTCCCTATGCAAAAACCACAGTAGCAAAAAATGCTTATGGCTTGTATGTCAAAAAACAAACACACGCAAGCATGTGCCCTTGCACATGCCCGTGAAGTAAATATAAACTCCAATTCACTGCTCCTTTAACTAAAATATTTCTCTTAGTGTATTTATTAGATGTTTGTGTGTACAGTTTAATTGACACAATTTTAGTTTAAAAGCAACAGCAGGTTTTCTAACTTTCTTTTTTTCTTGTGTGTGATAACCATGTCACTGAGTCCACGCTGGTTTTTTCATTAAAAAGATGGTATTTATAAAAACTGTTCTCCTGACTATATTTTAAATCAGACCGGAATGTTTCAGTTACCACCTTTAGCCACATGGTTTCAGGAAACTATGCCCAATATTTCATGGAAATGCTGGTCTTTTCAGAAGAGTTCTTTTTTCATGGGGTGGAAATCCACAAAAACACCTAAAGGTAAAAAATCTTCGAGGCCTGGAGATAAATTCTCAGCAACAGGGGAAATGCCCGATGCGTCGTGGAGCCAGAGAGGGAGAAATGGCATTTAACTCCCCGAAACACTCTGCTTCAATATTTACCTGACAGCTTTGGTATCTTGACATTTTCCCCAGTGCATTTCTTCCTTTATCAGGTATTATTTTACAAGGCATTTCTTGTTATATAGAACTAACATAAATCAATCTATAACACAGGAATTTGTTTAATACATTTATTCTTTAAGAAGTTGCATGATCATATTTCATCGACTCGTACAATAGAAAAAAAAATCCTACTACTAAAACAGAGTTTGTGGAGACTGGTGCATGGTAAACCTATTTAGTCTTCTCAGAGGTTCATTCTTAGATTTTAATGTTAAATAAAAACAACTATTCATTTAAGCTGGTCTCACTGTATATCTTGACCTTTAGCAATTCCACACACAGCAGCTTATTGTGGTATCCTTTAAATATGAGAAATAAGAATGTTTTACTTTGCCATTAAAAGAAAAATAAAAGAGCACTGTATGTTACATGGCCCATGAAATATTGGCAGTGTGCTCCTTGGCTTTCATTCGAAGAACGGCGATACTGGAAGACCTCCGTTCAAACTCTGGCTTTGTTTCAAACGCGTGTCCATTGGTAGCCCCAGTAAGAAGAGAGTCAGTGAAAAAATTGTTGAGGGGCACGTGGCTGAACTGGTTCTGGTGGTTTGAAAACCCTGTGTAACTGGAATCTGTCCGAGGCGAGTGAGAGTAAGGTGTCATACAGGACGAAGTGTCACGTGGTAACATGCATGAAGTAACCACAGAACCGCCGCTCGCATTTCCTGCCCACAAATTGTTCTGAATCTGGAAGATATAAAACAACAAATATTACATTTACGCGTTCTCCGTTTTGTTCCCTTACTTTTGTTTAACTGCATTTACTATATTTTGTTAACTATTCATTGTTTCCTCCTATTGGGTGGTCTGTAATTGCATGCTGAGTACATAAAGCGATTGCTGAAAAATAATTATTTGAAAGATTTTTCCAGCTTGTTATCCTGTAACGGATCACCAAAACCCACATACTTGACCACATAAAATAGTCTCAAAATATGTCAATCTCTTGAGTGTTCTCAAAGTCATGATTTTTTAAATGAAATCTTGAAGATTTAGTCATGATTCATGACCAATTCATGTGCTTAGAAAAGCAGTTTAAAATATGGTTTTAGGTTTAAACATAGTTTTCATCTTTCTAAACAAAATGACACAATTGCTTTTTTTTTTTTAAAGTTCTATAGTTGGACTCTTGGTGTGGCAGTTTTTGTGGAAAACCACTGCTAACATTAGGCTATTTGCTCTATCGATATTTTTGATTAGACCCATTTTGGAAAATGTTTACCCTTTCATTGCTTTTTATTTCCTACAGTCTTGAATACATAGTTATTTAAATATGAGAAATATATACATATTTTAAACATTTATTCTATGACATATACAATATAGTGAGGCCACAATAGAACTATGACATATAAAACAAATTTAGAATTATAAAAACATGACAATTACCAAATAACGGAAGCACAATGGAGAAAAATTTGCACATATTAGCAAAACTTTCATATGAATAGAATCAAAGTACTATGTAACATCTTCTATAAGATTGAAAACTGGGTGGTTTCGTGTCCAAGAAATTCACATTTCACATTATTAAATTTCTACAGGTTTCCACAGGAAACAATTCAGTGCAATACTACCAATAAAAAGAAATTTGTCTGAAGTTACTAGCATGTAAAGAAACGCTAAGTAGAATTTGCATAATATGAATTTTACACAGGAGGTATCTTAGACCAGCTATTTAAAGAAGGAAAAAAAAAACCCAAACAGTGATCACATGTATTACTGAAAAGTACAGGAAAAATTGTGACAAATGGCAGAAGCTGGGGAAAAAGAAAAATGTTGCATGGTATAGCATGGCAGAGAGATGCAGCCTTAGACAATGAAATTTAAAAATTGTATGCCTTTCATGGTGTTATTACAATAGATTTGTATCAACAACAATGTATATGTTTATTGCATCTGGCTTTCTTTTTTAAAATCACAATAATTAGAATGGAACCATCAATTATTTCAACACATACACAAATGTTTTCTTATATTTATTTTTACATAAAGATTCCCATCTACTACATATAGCCTCTGGGGTAGTCTTACAAAATCCAAGCTTAAATCATACATTTTAAGACAACTTATTTTCAACTAATAGCAGAAAAAGCATTAAAGAATCTTCTAGATCACACTGGTAAAGATGTTACTCTGTCACTCAAGAAAGGACCTCTCAACCAGTTTCAAAACATAAGAGAAAATCTGAACAACTAATTTCATGCCTTAGGTGGGGCTTCAATGATTGACAAGATGCTCATTTCAGGGTTGTTGTAAAAATAGTTCTTTATATAAATATGCTTATAACCTCATTTAAATGTGTAAAATCTGTAACATATTTCTATAGACATATCTATAGAGATATATATATAAAGATTTGCATACCTTATTAATCCTTAAATCATCATGGGCTACGTTGTTTTAATTTTGGCTCATCCTACTGTATGTATGCCACTTTAGCCAAAATATAATGATGGGTGCTAGTGATTGCTGAGTTTTGTATCTTAAATCAACAACAGGGGCTGTTAATGTCATTTCTCTGTCAAGCTAGCTCTTCTAACTTGATCTGGGTGACTTTCCTCTGACATTCAATCATTGTGCTACACTGCAAAAACCACAGTCACATGTCTGACAAAAGGGCTTTCAAGAAATGAAAGTGAACTTGCTTGTTTATTTTTGAAAAAGAAAATGAAAGGCAAAATAGTGGTAGAGAAAGATTATTTACATTTTATGTTTGTTAAAGGATTTCTCCATTTATATATAGTGTTGCTAGAATTTATTATTAAAATCATTTACTCGTATTCCAAATGCATAGAAATATATTTACCAACTAGGTGAAAAAGGGAAAATAAGGAAAGTACAGGCAAGGAAGATAATCTATGAATGTAAATTAAGAAAATGTTTTCTCTTTAAAAGAATTAATATTAATCTTCCTATAAGTTGAAAAGAAATTCTCCAGTTTCCATGACATGGGCAAATATTTTTATTTTGACCAAAATTTTTTATTTGCACATGATCAAGCAAGTTAAACGCGTAACTTTTGGTGAAAGAATTTCTAACACACAGAAATGTTTTCTGAAAGGAACTGATTGGTAAAGCAAGTTACTACAGCAATATTTTAGTTGGACTTGAGAAGATACCCACATATTCCCATGGGTAGTGACACTGTCACACATTTCTACTGATATGTCCTGTTTCCATGATCTCTATCTCCCCTCACCCTCCCTCCCATATCTTTCTTTCATTTTTAGACTCCTGGCATGTCTTCACTTGACTTTAGGGATCTAGCTGATTCTTATATTGAAAGTTAGATGCAAATCATAAAAGATAATATCCTCAGTGAACTGAGGTTTTGTTTCCTTTGAAGCATTCCCTTTGCATGTTTAAACATCTGATGATGACGATCAAGATCATGCTCATGATAGCTAGTGGTTATCAGTTAATTACCAAGTGTCAGGCATTAGATTAAATGAATTATGAAGACTTCTAATCATTTCAATACACTAAAAGGTATGTGCTTTTACTATCCCCATTTTGGAGAAGGTAAAACTATAGAACAGAGAGCTTAACAATCTCACCCAAGATGGTGGAGACAACTTCAATAACTCCAAGGGTGGAGGTCAAATCTGAACCCAGGAAATTTTGAGAAATGCTACTGTGATATGCAAACTAGTCTTATGAGTTGAAATTGCCTGTTTACTTATTCATAATCCTAACTTTGTGGGGGTTCACAGGCTCTATTCTCTGGAAGCAAAATCCCCAATGATTGCTCACAACTCTTTCTTCATCCTTAGGCCTAACACAATACATGAAAAGACTTTAATACAAATTTATTTAATGATTGAAAAAATCTCTAAGAACATGAAATTTGGACTGATGCATCTTACAGATGTAATTGAAATTTTATGACAACTTATGCTAATATATCTAAATTTGGCTTCATGATTTGAAATCCAGAATCACCATACTGTAGAATCTTAACGGAAATCATGAAAATTACACACCTAGACCTTTCTGACTATATTTCCCTATGTAGGTTTTCTTTCCTATTAAGACTTATTCTCCAGCTTGGATGTATCTTCCTGAAGATTCTGATTCATTAAGCATGGGGTGTGACTAAGGGGATCTGTATTAAAATAATGGCAATGATGATAACACACACACACAACTCTGAAAATCACCTGGGATTAGGCAACACTATTGAAATCTAACTTGCTTCTAAATGCAAAACCCCTGTACACGTTCAATGACATGCAATTCCTGTGATAAGAAGCTCACCTGTCCAAAAAACATTCCATTCCCTTTTCAGAGCTCTGTAAAGAAGTGAGTGTTATCTTCCTCGATCTATTGCTTCTGTTTCTGTTCCTTAAAATGGTAGAGAATAAGTAGCATCCTTCTTACATGTGAAAATCTTCAAATCTCATTAGGCAATTATTGTACAATCTCAAGTCTCTTTCCTTCAAGCATTCCTCACATGACATGGTTTCCAGACTGCATGGTTCCAGTCACATCCCTCTGGCTATGATGGAGGTTGTCAACACCCTTCATCCTTATCAACATCCAGCACTGACCACAGAATATCATATTCTAGATGTCATCTGATCACAGTAGGGAAAACCTGGCAGGTATCATCTTTGTTCTAGATCATCTACTTGTGTTAATATCTGAAGGCAATATTTGATTAAACCACAAAGTTGTCTGAGCTTGTGGTTTAATAAATCTGTTGTCAAGGCAGACTGATTCCATGGCTCCTCTAGCCTTCCACCAATTCTCTTCTTCAATAAGTGGTCATTTTAAAACGATGTGCTGGAATCTACAAGTCGTATTGTCAAAAACTGCATATATCTATTTGTTAACAGAGAAGCCATACAAAAATCTGACTCATTAATAGAAATATTATATTTTCTGTTAAATTTTGAAATTAAAAAACGCATTTTTTTCTAAATAGGATCACTGCTTTTCTTTTTAGGATCATTTCACAGACTCCTACAGTGGCAGTGCTCAGGACCAAATACTGTTTCAGGTGTTTCTGTAGGCCTTTAACTATATGATATTCAAGGGCTTTACAGCCAGGAACAATGTTATTAAATAATGCCCATATCCTTCTTTCATTTAAAAAAAAAAAAAAACGACTGCCTGCCTTTACAATTTTTATTCACTGGTGTATTTAAGAGGAGCATAGAACCTAAAAATATTCCTTGTTTTAAAATGCTTCTCAATGTTTTTCAAGAGATCTAGGGGTCTGTTCAAAGCATGGTTCAGGGAACTTAGCCAACTGCCTGCCATTAGCATGAATGGAGTTCAGCTGACTTACCACACTCCATTTGAACATTTGCCCCTTAATGGTTTTCTAATCAAATAAAAAGTTAACACTTAATTAGTCCACAACTTTGGCATTTCGGAGCAAAGTTGTTTTTTTGTCTGACTTTTCAAACTGAAATCAAAGTCATTTAACATTTGTTTTTCTTACAAGGAACTAAAAGCAATAGACAGCAAGGAGAGGGTTAACATATAAATATAGACATATACATTAAGAACTCTTCACTGCGGATTTATCTGTCACAAATTGAAGTAATCTAGCAAATCATGGATAGGAAATCATAAATCTCATTTACCTTCACCCTAGAAACTTGACACAGATACAGTCTTTGTATAACAAAAACTACAAAGAAAATTTTAGTATGCTAAACCTGCCGTATATTTCT